GGAAGGAAGGAAGGAAGGACTGGAAATACACCAATGTAAAATTGTAATGGAAATAGGAAGAGTAGGAGGAAGGGAGAAGGATACAAGAAAGAGAAGGAGAAAGGATACAAGGATGAAAGTAAAGAGACAAATGAAGGATGGAGGAAATGAGGCCAATAACATTCAGGCAATGATAAAGACACTATTTCATTCGCTCTGATTTTCATCTCCAATACTTAAACAGATCAGAGCAAACAATGAAATCACATCCAAACTTTTCTGTGAGCTGTTGGAAACAAACCCAAACACTTTCCAGATCACTTTAAACTGCAACTTAACTTTATTAACACTAACTAACAACCATAAATCAGAGCTTCAACAATGAAAAAAGGATTAAACACACACTCACACATTCGTCACTAACCTTTTTTGCCGATCTGAACATAGTCGTTTTCAAACAGGTCTGCCAGCAAAGAGGAAAGAGAAAGCAGAACAGAGCTGTCAGCATTGTTATCGGTCTGCTTTACAAACACTGACAGCACAGTCCGCTCTATTTAAGGCATGAACGATACACTGGAACAATGTCAATATCACGGAGGACTTCATGGAGATACAGGCTGAGAAGTCCCAGACGACCAACAGAGCAGAACTAGCTGATATACAGCCAGTGGGTTTACAGATGGGCGTGCCAATCTATTCAATGGATAAACACCAGTATTTAATCACAACAAGAAAGATCTCTGCACCTGCTTTTTATAAGCTACTGCCTGATAACTGGGAAAGCCTGACCGCTCTGAGAAGTGTTTGTTCGCAGTAGATCATGAACCTCCTTCTGATCTCCGTAGTTACCTGGATGGACGTGGCCATGGTCGTCAATCCCCAACTGGCCGGAGTTCAGGTTCAGCTCTGAGTAAGCCTGCCTCTATAACAGGGAAAAAACACAATAGATCCCTGTATTGTTTACATTGATCCTGTCAAAATTAACATTCTTCCAGAGGTTCTACATTTAGTTCATTTTGGGGCTTTTATCCCCAAATTCCACCATTCTCTCCCACATTTCATTTTGAAAAATAAAAGCCACCTAGAATCTAAACTGCATTTAGAGAAACTGGAGTGCCACTGCTTAGACTGCCTTATTAATACTGGGCAGCAGACATTCCTTCTTCATCCTACTGGACACGATGCAGACAGAGTGATAGTGTTCCTTCCTGGGTGGCCGCCAACCTGCTTAAGGAATTTGTTAGGACAGTAAGGGAGGTAAAATAAAACAAAACAAATCCCTTTCTCTTATTGCTAGTCTCTATAAGGATTCTGGTCACATCCTAAATAGTCGTCTTCTTTGAGGAATTGTTGAAAGGAACCATTTTGCCTCTAAAGAACATTCCTTACGACACTTTTTTATCTTCAATTTAGATTTTAAAAAAAGCTTAATCTCTGCTGCATTCCTCAGCCGTATGTCATGACCTTGACCAGTCTCTGATTGGATGTCATGATGTAAAACAAAAGTTCAGATTTTTCAACTCAAGCCCCATTTGCTGAGCATCCATCGCTATAAATGCCAGCGTTGGCCAAGTTACTTAGTTAATGTAAAATATTTTATATTAATTAATCAAGTTAACTTTGTTAAAAAGTAATATGTTTCTTTATATTATTACCGTCAGTTTAATTTCATCACAATAAACATTTTGGACAAGTCATTACCAAATGAAGGTTCACAATGATTTGTCATAATAGCTGAATCACAAAAATATAACGATATAGAATAACTAAACAACAAAAATCCATGAGATGACGCAAACTCTCCTTCTATGTCTCATTAATTAGCTCCTGATTAAAGTGCAACCAGACAAGGTTTGACAAAAAGTCACATTTCTATTAAAAGAAACATGACAGTAGTTAATACTGTTTCACTATTACCTTAATATTAATATTAACATTTATTATTGCGAGTATAGCCACTTGCCATCTTATTCTAATGATTTCCAACTATTCTTTCTCTTCAAAGGTTTTAAGACTTTCCTATTCTAAGTTTTAAAACCTTCTTCTATTGCTCCTTTGATTGCAGGAGTTTTCCTGGTTAGTGAGCCCCAGGGCAGCTGTGGCTACCATGTAGCTTGCCACCATCAGTGTGTGTATATAGAAGTACAGGCCATTTACCATTCTTCTTTTAGTAACATTTTAAAATCCTCCTTTTCTAATTTTTAAAACCTTCTGCTACTGAATATATTGACTAGGCTGCTCCTTTGATTGCAGGAGTTTTCCTGGTCAGTGAGCCCCAGGGCAGCTGTGGCTACCATGTAGCTTGCCACCATCAGAGTGTGTACGGTATATAGAAGTACAGGCCATTTACCATTCTTCTTTTTCTAACATTTTAAAATCCTCCTTTTCTAAGTTTTAAAACATTCTTCTTCTAATGTTTCAAAACAGACTTCTTTTCCTCTAAGGTTTTAAAACAGTTTTTCTAATGTTTGAAAGCCGTCCTCTTCTACTAATGCTTCTGTAGTTTTAAAACAGTCTTCTCTTGATATAAAAAAAAGTTTCTTCTTCTCTGTATTTAGGCAGCTTTTTTTCGAAACCGACAGTTTGCATAAAAAAAAAATAATGCTCTTTATATTTAGTTACTTTAATATACTATTTTCATGTCCTATCGTGCTAACTTGTGTTAAAGTAACTAAATATGATGGAGTAGTTTAAATTTAATTTGCATATATTACGGTAGTGTGTTGCTTTTGTACCATCAGGGGTAATTGCCATAATCGTTCCTGATTGCATATCTTGTTAACATAACATGTTAATCACAACAGTTTCTTAAAACTGGAGAAGAAAAAATACTTTATCAAAGGATGGTCCCTAGTTTGAAAGAAGTCATCATCACAAACCATTGCTACTGTTGCTATCTTCATCTTTTCTGGATTTAAACTCATTGGTAGTCGTTATGTTTTGCATTGCAGATTAAAATCTGATTTGAATGGGCTTCGACGTATAAAAAACACAATTTTTCCAGTCTAAATGACAGCATACTATTGTACACTGTTGTTAGCATAATGGAGGATCTGTCATGCCGCGGGCCTGCTTCTCTGCCACAAGCATCACAGGCTGTTACAGTGTTCATGACGCCATAAACTCTTACTGTATCACATAAACAAGAGAGCTGCGTAGATCCCTACCAACTGTGGGATGTCCCGGACGTTGAGGGGAACCTGAATGAGGCCCCAGTGGCTCCGTGCGCTGACGTCCTCACAGCTGCCATGGTTGGAGTTGCGCAAACTTATCAACACCTAAATTGGACAACAAGTAAAAGACATAAAAGAGCTGGAATTTAACTTTTCAAATGAGGATGGGGGGAAAAAAAGCAAACAAGGAAGGCGATTACCTCCAGGAAGTCTTTCAGGGCGTATACGGGCCTGAAACGACTCAAGTCTGCAAAAAAAGCAGAATCAACCACTGTGACACTCTCTACCTGGTGAATGATGTGAATGAAGGTGCAGCGCAGGTCAGAGGAAGAGGTCTGGACAGCTTCTATACTGACAGTCCGAAATGTTTACAGTCAGAGGACGGCAAGTCTTAAATGTTATCCTACATCCCTGAGCTGTGAAATCGCTGTAAGGACTAGAGATCGGCCTGTTCCCTGGAAATGTGCCGGCTTCGAGCAACCGGGAGATAGAAAAGAGCTCATAAATCCTACATTTATCAACAAAGCAAAGTGCCTTCCAGAGGAACTCGCAGCCTTTGAACCTACTGCCGCGTTTTGTCACGTAACTCAACAGATTCGGCTGGATTGAATAACCCATAAGAAGAGTGGCAAGAAGTGGATACGAGAAAATCACAGGAACATTAGTAATGAGTTAGCATGTTAGTTGTTTAACGATAAAGATGAACTATATGAAGTGTGGACGTCATTCAGCTATGATTTAAAGCTCTAAAAACTGATGCTGGCCCTAAGCTGCATAAAAAAAATAAAAGCAGAAACATTCTCATTAGAGACCAGCTTCTAGAAAAGCTTTGGCTGGATAAATATAGCTCAAAGAGGAAAACACTGAAGTGGTAGATCTGATGCAGAGACATGGCATGTTGTTAAGTTGATGTTAAATGCGCCAGCACTCGCACACACATCAACACTGATCAGTCACAGCAGGCAGATGGCTCTTGGGGCCAAACCCCTGGGTAGTGTCTGCAGACCTGCTTCGTCGGTGCCCATCTCGTTCCACTTGTCGGTGAGCTCCTTCTGCTCGGCTGCAGGCCTCTGTGGGAGACAGGAGGCTCTTTAACAAACAAAACACCACACAGCCTGGCTACGCCGCCTCGTTCCGTTTAGTCGTAAATACAGCCGTGTGCATGCAGAGTTATACGGAGATAAAACACAACAGCCTTGGTTACCATCTTGTAAAAATAAATACAGCGTTATGACAGCTTTTCCATAGGAGTCTCTGTCGTTTAGCTGCATTAGCTGTTGAAGGACCATGCTTCCTCCTACCTTACGGGCCAGAGGCACTCCAAGCTCTGTGCTCATGCTGTTCAGGCTTTTGAGGACGCGTTTCTCCCAGCTGGCCTGTGTACACACACACATGCAGTTGGCTTCAGTCATCACTATCATGTCAGTGACGTGGAAAACGAGGTTAACATCTCGCAGAGTTGGCAGGCGAAAACAAGCGGAGTCAAACAGCTACGGAGGAAGATGGAGATAAGCGGAGGCGTACTGACCTGAGCTTTACGCATGTAGGCCAGCGGCTCTTTGAGTTGCTCTGGAGGAGCTGTGGGATGGCTTAGAGGCAGCTGGCTAGAATAAATGAAGGAGGAAGTAAAGATGTCATCAAGCGTCCCAGAAAGACTGACGGCTTTGATAAACTGATGCTAATGAGATGAGACTTTAGAAACTGAATGAATTCATCAAAAAAGAGAAAGAAAGTCTGTCAGCCTTAATGCAACTAGATGCATCACATGTTTTTGTCCAAACCTGCTCAGGGTAAACGGAATGACTCAAGGACCAAGTCAAATAAACACATAAAAGGATGGAACATGGCTGACTGCAGTTCACTATATGATGTAAGAGTGACAGAATGTAGCGTCTGACGAGAAAGAAGGAACGGTTTTAAATTTGCTTCACATTTGCTCTTAATCTTTCATTTTTACTGTAACAGACTTAAGTTTTCAACATTAGATAAAGGTTGTTTGTCCATTCCTCTATGCAGCTAGAGGCTGGTAGAAAACCCAAACATTTTACTGAAAAGAAACACTACTTTAGGGCTAAAACAATTAATTGTGATTAATCGAATATTGAAATAATCATCAACTAATTTAGTAATCAATTAATCATTAAATGGAGTATAGAGACTGTAAAACATGCCTTTAGCTGACAGAGCGACCAACATAAGGCAGTAAGTATACCAAGATTTGAAAAAATAAATATATAAACATTTTGCATTTAAGATAAAAATACATTTAGTTTCTCAGTGTGCTCTATCCAGAACTCCTCAAGTGGAAAAGTTTCAGTTTCACCTGGTTTAATTTAGCAGAAAATCTTCTTTAAGGAATCATTTCATATCCAATTAAAAATCGATTAATCAAAAAAAATAAAATAAAATAAACGTTAGTTGCAGCTCTACACTACTTTCACATTTTTTACTTAAGTAAAAGTAGGAATCGACTCAAGAGTTCTTGGTAAAATGGCTACTCAAGTACTCAGTAACTGTAATCTTATTTAGAGTTTATTTCTAAAATCTAAATTGCTAAAATACCATGATTTAATAGAATACCAAACTGCAGTATTCATGTTCAAAGAAAGACATAGCCTATTGCCTGGAAATATACAAAAGATGTTCTCTGAAAGGGAGGGAGGGTACCATTTAAGGGGAAGGGGAAATTTTAAGATTAATAGACGTAGAACAACAAAGAAAAGATTGTTTATCAATTTGCGGAGTTAAATTGTGGAACAAACTAAATGAGAACCTAAAGCAATGCCCAAACATATTCCTTTTCAAAAAAAAATGTACAAAGAAATTATTTTCAAAAGGTATAGAGAAGCATTGTAGAAAGTTTTGTTTGTGTTTTTTGTTTTGTTTATTTATATATATGTATGAAGCTAAATGTTTATACATATTTATGTATGTATATGGATATATATATAGCAATATAATTATAAATATTGTAAATTGAAGAAATACAAGATTTAAAGGGGTAGGAGCACATAAGTTTTACTTCTTCCTACTCCTTTTCGCACATGTACTAGAGGTATATTAACTCAGGAAAGAAGGGTACCTGGTTTGTTGTTTTTCTCTCCAATGTTTTTAAACATTGTTTTATTGTTTTTTTCTTTTTCTCTTGCATGTTCGAAATAAAGAATCCAATCCAATCCAGTTTAAAATGATTAAACCAGGCTGAGTTATGAGCAAATTCTGGTATTTCAAAGAATATAATAAAATTAAATTCATAAATTCAAATTATTTTTTTTGCAAAATAGCAACTTTGGGTAGAAAAACACATTTCCAATTTGGTTTTGAATTCATAAACATATAAAACCAATCTTTACAGTAAAGGTAACATATAAATGTGAGGAAAGGATGAAGAACGTCCAGCTAGAACATCTAATATTAACTGTAATTTCTGAATACTCATAGTGGGCAGAGTAGCCAGAAATCTTACTCAAGTAATATTAGAATTAGTTATAGTCTCACAAGAATACCACTTAATTAAAAGTAAAATGTAAAGAAGAATACAACTACACCTAAAAACTTTTTTTTCTAAAAGTTACTGAAGTAAACGTAACTGAAGATTGTGACTAGTTCAATTTGATTCATTTTTTTAAGTTATTACTCACTCCTATATGCAGCTCTGTTGATTTCAGTCAGATTAAATGGAAATTATTTCTGACCATCCAATAGTAATTCAATCAGAAACTTTAACAGCTGCTTTACTTCTTCCAGTCATTAATGGCTGAAGGGCTCTAATGTTCTGCAGCTAACCTCTGAGGTTGAACCACAGAAAGGGGAAAATATGAGGGAAGCTTGTTGCACGGCTGACTACAGATTAGAGTCATATTTTCAGATTTAGATTTGCAAACACATTCGAAAACTGATTTGTTTGCAATGCTATTTATGAAGCCATATGGCCTGAAATTACGAGTAAAACCTATACATTAAAAAGTAGATATTCTGTTTTCCTCCTCATTCAAATAAAGAATGAAATGTTCATTGATTTTAATATGAAGAAGTTTGGGCAGCCCTATTAATCTTAATTCTTTTTATTTTAAATATTTGGTTGTTTGCAACAGGTATATCAGTTTGATATATCTAACCCAGAAGTGGCAGGCCAAGAAAAATATCAGAGAGGCAGAGAAGAAGAGTTGTGAGACAACCCACAGACCACCTCCAAAGACCTGCAGCATCATCTTGCTGCAGATGGTGTCACTGTGCATCATTCAACAATTCAGCGCACTTTGCACCAGGAGAGGCTGTATGGGCGAGTGATGTGACAGAAGCCTTTTCTGCAAGCACACCATTAACAGAATCGCTTGAGGTATGCAAAAGCACATTTGGACAATGCAGGTTCATTTTGGAATAAGGTCCTGTGGACTCATGAAACAAAGATTAAGTTGATTGGTCATAAAAAAAAAGGTGATATGCATGGTGGCAAAAAAAAAAAAAAAACACAGCGTTCCAAGAAAAACACTTGCTGCCCACTGAAGAATTAGGTGGAGGTTCCATCGAGCTTTAGGGCTGCGTTGCCAATGCTGACACTGGGAATATTGTTAAAGTTGAGGGTTTCATGGATTCCACTCAATACCAGAAGATTCTTAAGAATAATGTTCAATAATCAGTTAAGAAGTTGAAGTTACGTCGGTGATGGATATTTCAGCAAGACAATGATCCAAAACACCTCTCCAAAGCTACTCAGGCATTCCTGCAGAGGAATAATCACAATGTTCTGGAATGGCCTTCCCACAATCCCCACACCTGTATATCATTTAACATACCGGTATGTGGGATGATTTGAAGCAGGCTGATCATGCTACTGTGTCCATGAGTTATTAGGTATATCAAACTGAAATAGCTCTTGCAAACACCCAAATATTTAGAAATAAAAATAATTAAGATTAATAGGGGTGCCCAAACTTTTTCTTATGATAGTGGATCAAAACAACACACAACAGAAAAGGTTATGGAAACTCTGGCTAAAAGATGGGAATAACATGAACTGAGATAGAGCTATTTAGATGGAGAAAGAGTCACATGTTATTGTTTGACCCCTAACCTCTAACCCTAACCTGACAGGTGAAAATAAGGATTTATAGTAAACAAACAAGCTTACAGTACAAGTGGATTTCAAACAAAGCTCCATGACTGTGGATGAGAACCTGAACTAGGGCTGGGTAAAAAAATAGATTTAATCGATTTTGAATTGATTCCTTTTACATTTTTGCAAAATCGATGTGTAGGGAATGAGATCGATTAGTTTTATAGTGAGGTTTGTGACGTTCACATTCAAATGAGCAGGAGGAGTGTGCAAATGCAGACCCAAGGAACAAACCGCTCAGCAAGCCATTCCAAAGGAAGTCTGATGTCTGGAACCACTTTGGATTTGAAACAGCTAAAGATAATGTGCTGGACATGTGACATTAAGGTGACTTCTCACTACATTGATAATGAATGGTTTCATTCAAGATTACTTTAAACCAGACAGCTGCAAATATAGCCTATAGGTTGACAGCAGACATTAACAAATGGGGGCTGACCAGCAAACACTTTTCACTTTTCACAAACAGGTTTGCGCATTTAAGTCAACTTTGTCCACATCTCAAGTTTAAACTGTCTGATTTACAAGTTTGCACTTTGTGTTTAATATGACAGGAAAAAAATTTAATAAATGAGTGTTTTGAAACACAGTTGAACCACTTTCATTATTGTAAAAACAGATCGAATCGAAATGAATCGATTTAGAACTGTATGAATCAAAATTGGGATCGATTCATGACTTTGGCGAAAATACCCAGCCCTAACCTCAATTCAACCTTTAACCTAAAAAAATATTAAAATGTTTAATTGTTTAATAACCCTATTATAAAATAAATGTAACTTACACATGCAGCTCTCTGTAAACAGCATTCTGTAGCTTTTTCTCCCAACCTAAATACAAAACGATGAGAGCAGCATTAGCACACAGGAATCTTTATCCTTCTTTCTCATGTATGGAAGGTGTTTACCTCTAGAAAAACCTCTTCTCACCTGATTTATTCAGAAAACTGCGCACGTCTTCCTTCAGCGACTCCAATTTGATCTCAGATCGACGTAAACAGTCCTAAAAAATAACGTGTTATTGGATAAGTGAAGTTGAAGAATAAAGAGAAAAGTTGCTTATCATGGAGAACTGTCAGAAACAAGCAGCAGCAGCTAGCTGCGCATCATTTTAGCCCCATGCTAACCGACTCACTTTAGCTTGTCTCTCTATCTGAGAGTGTAAATGGCTTCCTTTGAGCCGCTGGACGATGTGAGCGATGCTCAGAGTTAACTCGCTACTTTCTTCCATCCCCGCTTTCTACTGGAGCCCCTCACACGGCCCGCTTTCATCAGGCGCTGCGGCTAAACTCTCAGCATCCTTCAGAACAGCAGCTGCAGAGGTTACTTAGCAACCAAGGTCGGTGCGCAGGAAACAAGCACCTGATACTTTGGTTCCGACCAAAGTGATAACCGCCACAGGTTCTCAGAAAACACAGTAAAAATTCAGACGCTATTTGAATTTTTGACATTCCATAAAAATGTGTTGAATATATTTTTACAGATTTTTTTTTTTTTTTTAGAACAGTCCTGAAAGGTTTAGGGGAGGTTCTGGCACGTCAGATTGAAAATATAATCAGCACATTAAGAAAATCTTTTTTTTTTTTTTAATCTACCGTTATTTTCCAAAAATGACAACAAATATGTATTTAATGAATGTTCTCTTAAAACACTCTGGAAGGGTATATATCATGGAAGTTGCCTGTCACCATAGCAAATTTTGGTGGATGATAAATTATCATCCACCAAAATAATAAACGATAATATTCTATTTTGGATTAACTCTCCAGATGTCATGTTCAACTTTCAAACCAAAGCATTAATCTGGTTTGCCATCCTCAGTCATTAGCAGGGGTGGAGCTAGATGGGGGGCCAGGGGTGGCCATGGCCACCCTTAGCCAATCATTGTCCACCCCTATCATGTTTTCCCTCTAATACAGATGGTGGCAGCAGTAATACTCTCAAGTGGAATATTCAAAACATTACATTTTTTTTGGTTAATTATGGACAACAATATACTAACATCAAAGATGATAAATACAGAATTCATGCTATTTTCAGAACTTGATTTTGTGTTATATGGGGTAAAGAGAAAGGAATGAGTCTCTGCAAGTCATCTGGGAGTCTTCAGTGAAATCATAGATAAATAACAATTTTATTTAAAAAAAATGATCAAATAATCAATTTATGTAGGTATTAGTGCTTGTAAATATCAATATTATGCAGAATGTTTATTGACACAAGTAGGTAAGTAAAGACGATGGAAAAGATTTAGCAAGCATGGGAACTAAATTATTGAGCCTATATATATCCAATCATTATTTATAATGCATCTGCTATTGTTTATTGGGAAAAGCCTGATTGCAGGTTACCTAAAGGAAATGTTTTATTAATGTTTCCTAAATTACCACATAAAAATATCAATTGTCATTTTTAGATTTTATTTCTTTCATTTCTAGAATATTACAAAAACTTAAGATATCATGTCTAGGAGTGAAAAATGAGTCCATATATTCATTTTTTTTTTATGGTAATATTACAATTCTGTGCTCCACATATTCTAGTTTAAAGCCTTCAGCTGATCTTAAATGTTGCAGCAAAGTTCTGATGAAAATTAAAAAGAGATTATATTTCTCCAACCTTAGCTTCCTTTCATTGGGTTCACATTAAATGCAGAATAGAATTTAAAACCCTTCTCACATATAAAGCCCTAAATCACCAAGCTTAATCTTATAAATCTTTTTCAAGTCAGGAGATTTGAACAAAGTGCTTTAGATTAAATTCAGTCATTCACCCCTTAATGCACACACTGATGGTGGCATGCTTCATTGTTGCCGCAGCTGCCCTGGGGCTCACTGCTAGAAGTGAGGCTGCTGTACACTGCGGGCGCCACCGGTCCCTCTGACCACCATCACTAGGCAATGTAGATGAAGTGTCTTGCTAAAGGACACAATGACAATGAAAGCCGGACAACAGACAACCCTCCGGTTGCAGGGCAAACTCCTGCATCCGACGCCACTGTGTTATATTAGAGATCTGATTGTTCCATATGCTCCTAACAGAGCACTTGCTCTCAACCTACAGGTTTACTTGTTTACTTATCAGGCTCCTCTCCTGTTGAACCCACTTCCACTTTTAATCAATGAGGGAGAGACCCTGTCTTCTTTTATGACAGGAGTAAAAATATTCTCCTTTTTGAAAAATCTTATAGTTAGAGATGCTCAGGTTATCCTGAGCAATCTCTGCAGCTATGCTGCTATAGGCTTAGACTGCTGGAGGACATATGGACCACTTTTCTTCACTCTTTCTTTACTCATTCTACTTCTATTCTCCTGTTTTGTATGATTATTATTTTTCTCAACTTTTAACTGCTTGTTCTCTCTGCGTTTTCTCATCAATAGCTACAGAAGGCCAGATGCTCTTTTTAGCTGTGACACCATCCTGGAGGGAGGCATCAGCCCAGCTGCTTCTGGCAACAACTGAAATTATAGATAATAAAGTTTGGCCTTTCTTTCAGTGTTTAGTCTTGTTTCTCTCCTAGACATAGCTGTTTGCTCAGACTTTACAGCGACTGACTGTATGCGCCCTCTTTCATCCATTTTTACATTAAAAATGGCTCAGAGCTCATCTGCTGAAACAGTCTCTTTATTAGACAGCCACCTGTGGAGCATGTTTACCATTACCTTCTTTAAAACAGAAAGCGTTTATGGATAAGTGCTTTTTTTGTCCCTTTTTCTCTGCTACTCTTCTTTTCTCTTGCTGCCTCTTATTTGTGAGGGATTGCTGTAAAGTCAATGACATTGCAAGCAAATTTCCAGCGGTTGCCTCAGCCTAGAAGATTTTTGGTATATATTGACGGATAGTTATTTTAAAAAGTTGCAACTCTTTTTAGGAAATCCTTATAAAACATTCCATTGCTGTTCCCTGAAATAAAATGTTTTGCGTAAAGAATGCTCTCTGAGATTCGTAAAGGCTTTTTGGTAAAAAGCCGTCATCCTTGGGGAAGACTGGGGTTAGAATTTACCAGGGGTTGCTCCCCAAATGTTCTCTGAAAGTCATATAAATGTAGAAGTTATGCTTAAAGCTTGCAAAGAAATGTGATACTCAAGGTGTGGAGAAAGTTCGGAAGTTAACATTTAAGGTTATTGTGGGAAATATTTAACACGGTGCAAGAAAATGTATCAAGGTGCAAGACTAAATAGAATAAAACAGATCAGAACAGAACATACTGTAATAGAATAAGATAGAACAGATTACAATACCATAGAATAAAATAGAAAAGAATAAAATAGAATAGAATGGAATAGAATAGGAAATAACAGAATAGAATCACACAGAGTAGAATAGAATGGAATAGAATAGAACAGAATAGGATAGAATAGAATAGAACAGAATGGAATAGAACAGAATAGAATAGAATGGAATAGAACAGAATAGAATAGACGAGAACCGAACAGAATAGAATGGAATAGAATAGGATAGAACCGAAGAGAATAAATAGAACAGTATATAAGAGAACAGAATAGAATAAAACAGAAAGACAAGACACAAGATAATATAATAAAACAGAACAGAGTATAATAGAACAGAATAGGATAGAGTATAATAGAAAAGAATAGAATAGAATAGAATAGAATTGGCCTTTAATGTTCCTTAGTGGAGAAATGAAGGTACAGTATCAAAGCAGCCGCATCAAAAGTAAATGGCCGCATGGAGGTCGGGTTTAAAACACACACACAGACAAAAAACTGCAGTTATACAATTAGCCGAGAGGCTGTCCAGAAAAACAGGATATAACTTTTTTGGCAACTGTAGGATTTTTTTTTTTTTTAAGATTAAAACCTGAACCAGCCTGTTTTTCTGGCCACCAAGCCGGATTCTTCCCATGTTTTAACCACCTATCACTCCCTTCTTTGGAAGTGATTTCTCTCTGACAATCAAGTCAATCATCTCAGGTCATAACAGCAACAACTGCCTCTGACTTTCTCTCTCAAAACAACAATCCAGCAGCACCGTCTGAACATGCGTCCATAGATAATGATTAGTTCCGCAGAAATGTCTCAACCTGCACCAGCATGCTCCAAGGCTCAGGAACACTTCCAATAGAGGCCAGGACTGACATTTATTCTGCAATCAAACACCTCACTGACTGTCTGGTTTGGAGTGATTTGCCATTTGAAGGGAGGAGGGGTTGGTGGTCCTATAGGCGGGCTGAGCTCTCCAAAGGACATCACCCACATGCTGTCTGTCTGTCAGCACCAGAGGAGCGCAGCGCACCCATCAGCCAGTGAGTTCTTCTTGTTTTTTTGTTTTCATTGCGTGTTTTGTGATTGGATATCGAAAGTTTGACATCCATGTGCGCATTTTGTTCCTCCTCTCTTTCTGTTTCTCTTCCAAAGGAGCATGAATGCTGCTAAGCTCCAGACAGATTTGACTTGAGATCAAACACATAAGAAGAAAAGCAAAATGGAGACATTCACCATCCATGACATGCTGATCAATTCAACGGATTTGAACAAGATTTTGTGCAACTTCGGGATTAGGAATATTTCGGATTGTGAGAGGGAGCGGGACCAGTCTCCAGAGCCTAAAGGTAAAATACAAGCTTTATATAGATATATATATATATACAAAAAATATTGCTTTAAAAATATTTGACGAATTATATTCAACATAAAATACTTTTTTGAAATGCAACTTGTCTCTAACATTGAATTTTAAAGAGGTGAGAGAGCGCTTGGGGCATTTTTCTTGCGTCATTACGCGCACGGCTCAGGTCCTGCACAAAAGCTAATGTAGTCAGCGCTCGGTGATTCTGCACGGCCAAGTGAGCACAACTACATCTGTGCACATGAAAAAAAAAACTAGAGGACATAAAAAGATTCAGTTGGAAACATTTTTGCGAGTAAAAACCTGAGAGGCATCAGCCCGAAGTGATGCATAGAGATATAAAATGCGCACATGGAGCATGAGCGGGCTGCACAGCACATGAGTCACATTTTTATATAAATATTAGAGTGATGTTTGCTCAAGGGGGGGTGGATGACTTTGACACACACAGGCTGTAACAAAAGCTTTTTTAGAAACATGTAGGGTCTATTTAGGTGGGAAATAAAATGACTCCATCATTGGATCTGGATGGCAACAGCTGTTTCTCATACTTTGTTTTTTATTATTTGTTCTATTCATAAATCTGAATAAGATTACTTTATTCGTTTAAAAGAAAAACTATTTGTAAATTATCTATAACCAGAGAAATTGTATCCAAATCAAGTAAAGAAAAAAAAAAAAGACTCCACCCCCAAACCTAAAAACTGGTTGTGTCACCATTGATCCCAGTAACACTTGTTACTATAATTACTTATCAAGAAAAGGGTGTGTTTGGATATGTTTTAACCTATAATGAACTAAATTATCATTTGAAATGTATCTTTCGCATTAATTCTGCTTATAAAAGAAAACATTTTGATGATTTAAAGCAGGCATCCCCAAACTCGGTCCTCAAGGCCCCCTGTCCTGCAGGTTTTAGAGGTTTCCCTGCTCCAGCACAGCTGATTTGAATTGAAAGCTGATTAACAGGCTTTTGGTCTACTGCAATCATTATAACCAGCTGTGCTGAAGCAGAGAAACCTCTAAAACCTGCAGGACAGCGGGCCTTGAGGACCGAGTTTGGGGATGCCTGATTTAAAGGATTTATGTACAAGAAAAAATGAGAAAAAGAAGAAATCTTTATGAGATGTTGTAATATTTTAATGCACATATGAAGCATTAATATAGTGACATTTTAAATCCTTATCTGTCATTTTATTACCATCAAAGGAAACTTCCACGTCCTGTTGTCACCTCTGACCAGGGCACATTTTAGTCTAAGCTCAACACGCATCTTATCAGACAAACTTTTAATACCATGTAGTGGCAATTTTCTATTTCTTTTGTGTTTTTCTTTTTGTAATGTGAATCTTTTCATTGTATTTTCATTGTAAAGTTTTTTTTGCGAAGGATGGTAATGAGTGTCTGCTATAGGCAACCATTAAAACAGTAATAGATCTAATTAATATAGGAGTGAAAAAAAGTACTTTCTGGTGAAATTCTGAATTAATTGATATAAAAATGTTGTCCTCCTGTTTTGTAGATACGTTTCTGGGTTTGAACCGCAGCTCACTTAACTTTTCTTTATTCTAAGCCAAACCTTGTAGATCCAACTTGTCTAAAGATGATTAAAGATGTTAACAAGCGTCTCTTTCTCAGACATCAACCAGACTGTCCGGATCATCCTGTACAGCCTCATCTTCCTCCTCAGCGTTGTGGGCAACACCCTCATCATCGCTGTCCTGTTGAGGAACCGGCGCATGAGGACCGTCACCAACCTGTTCCTGCTGTCCCTGGCATTGAGCGACCTTATGGTGTCCCTGGTGTGCATCCCCTTCACCCTAATCCCCAACCTCATGAGGGACTTCATCTTCGGCATCGGCATCTGCAAGCTGGTCATGTACTTCATGGGTATGTAGACATGTAAGGCAGGGTAGAGCTAGAGGCAGTTTGATGCATTTGTAAAATTCCCCACCCCCTTCTTTTTTTCTGAAGAAAAATGCTCATATAGCACTATCTAATCCTGCTGGATCATTTCCTCTTACGTTTAAATAAAAGCGCTTTACACTCATCTATTGGAAGAAGAATATACCAGAAGTCCTGGTCTCTCTGGCAAAATCTCTCCTGACTAACTTGGGGTTTTGTTAGGGAGTTTGTCCTCCTCTACCACCTCACATGCAGGTCAAGTGAATTTTTTCCCCTCATTTTACAGACAAGCACTTTTTTATTATCAGCAGTAGCCTGCTGCAGTTCCCATAAGGTTTTAAAAACTTTGTCAAGCATCTTTTACTCTGCTGTTGGGGTGAAGTTGCAGATCTGGGCTTGTTGGCAGTTGTTTTAAAGTCTTCTACATTTGTTTCACACAGTGAAATGGCTTATTTCATCCTAATCATTCTATAAATCCCTCATCAGGCTCTTCAGTTGAAGCGTTCTTCCTTCTGAAGCCCTTTAGACAGTGGCTTGGATCCCGCCGTGGTGTTCACTCTCACTTCAGTTCTCCATAAAATTATAATGATAAAAATATATTAATTGTAATTCTGTATACCAGGAATTAAATGAAATAATAAACAAAATCAAACTGAATAATAAGGAGCCAGCTGAATAAATATGCAAAGTTTAAAAAGGGAAAAACTTTTTCAAAATGTGGGCTAATGTGGACTTGTCATGTAACATCGTCTGACGTAACACACAGACTCAAAAGACATGACGTACTTCTCTTTTTCTCAGTTTTTATCCGGGACCATTATTATTATTCCTTTATTTAACCAGGAAAAGTCCCATTGAGATTAACAATCTCTTTTTCAAGGGAGTCCTGGTCAAGACAGCGGCAAAAGATTACATTACAAATTACATTACAGTACAGTACCATGATGCTGGGGCAGCAGTCTCATCCCAGATGCAAGACTTCTTTATCCCCAGACAGCTTCTATAGCTCCTCTGGGGGAAGTCCAAGGTGTTCCCGGGGCAGCCAAGAGACATCGTCCCTCCACCATGTCCAAGGTTGTCTCCCGAGCCTCCTTCTGATGGAGCATGCCTGGAACACGTCCTCATAAAGGTGCCAATGGGGCGTCTTAAACAGATGTCCCACCTCAGCTGACTCCTCTACTTTAAGCCTCTCCTGAATGAACAAACTCTTTACCCCATCTCTAAGGGAGTCCCCTGCCACTCTGTTGAGGACAATGATTTCAGCCTCTTTCATGTTTGTTTGTAGGTAATGATAGCAACACGGACTGACCGGTTTATCCAGAGCTTTACCTTTAGGCGCAGCTGACTTTGCCACAAGAGAGTAGCTGAACAGCTGCAGCAATCCAAAAATCAATATCCCGCTCCATTCTTTCCTGACTTCAGAACATGATCCTGAGGTACTTGAACTCCTCCACTTGAAACAGGAACTCCCCTTCAACCTGAACTGGGGAAGACCCCCTCTAACCATTAACACGGAGGAGATTATCATCCTCCTGGCGTATGCTGGAGGACTTGGCATGAGGAAGCAAGGAGAATCATGTCCTCCTAAAAAAGCTGAGGCAGAATCCCCTGGTCCCAAAGCCAGACCCCCGTCCAGCCCCTGGCTGCACCTAGAAATCCTGTCTATAAAGATCCTGAACAGGACCAGTTAGAGAGGGAGGCCTCGCCAGAGTCCATCTGGAACTGGTATGACCTAATGCTGCCAATGTGGATCAATCTCCTCTTCTCCTGCATAAAGCATATGTGGTCAAACTCACATGAACCCATTAACACCTGGCAGGATGTCTTTCATGGAAGGGACGAAAACCACACTGCTTCTCCTAAAGCTGAGGTTCAGTAATCAACCAGACTCTCCTCTCCAGCACCTTGGCATAGTCCATCCCGGTGAGGCTAAGAAGTGTGATCTTATGTAGAAGAAATACCCCCCAGGTTCTCAGGGTGAATCTCATCCACCCTCTAAGATGACAACCGTGAAGTTTTCTGTAATCACCTTGGTGATTTTGCCTCAAAAAGAACAACACAGAGTACCCAGTCTCCGTTTCCACTAGGATAGACATAATGGCTGAGTTAAGGAGATCCGTCCAACTTCCAACAACATCCTCAGTCAATGTCAGCAGCTTCCCAATCTCTCTGTAAAGGCTGACCTAGACCTTGTATCCTTAGTATATGATTTTTCTTAATAACAAGGATTTAAAATGAAGGTGGCCCATCCTTTGCAGCTGACTGGTCTTAACGCCTTCAGAAATGCTCCCAGAGCTTGCAATGTTTTCTATGAATGCATTCTCATGGTGCTCTATGGCATCCAAGCCAATTAAGCTCCTAAAAACCAAATTCAAGCAGCCTTGCTTTGAGGCTGTTCATCAGTCCCATGACAGGGTCATGCTCACACCGTTACCACTTCACCTTCTTCCTCCAAGCTGCAAAATCTTCATTTAAATCGTAAAACATTCGCTAAATCAATTCAGCTCTTCTCATTTAGAATCTTGGTTGATCAGGGTCAATGTCTGAGTGATGAGTTATAGTTTGCTATTGCGTTGGTAATAGCTCATCATAATGAAGTCATCTGAGGTCCTTTTGGAAGGTTAATTTCACTGCATCTCCAAATACTTATTTTGGTTTAATGAGCCTAAGCAGTAATAACTCCACACAGGTCAAAGTTTTATTTAGAGAAGATAAATTTATGTTTCCCGGCTGCACTGATTTTTTTTTTCTTAATTCGGGTCAAGCTTCATGATCGTTAGGAGAAAAGATGAAAATTATTGAACGGCATGAAGAACCGGCAGCGGGATAATCAGCTCAGGTAGAAAAAGTGGGCCTGCTACGTTTCCAAAAAAAGATCTAATTAGCTGAAGCCATATGTTTGAAGATGCTGTAAAACAGACATAAGTTACCTTCCTAGTCAATAGCAAATGGAAGTTGCTACTCTAATCGTTTCTGACGTGACTGAGCGCTTTGAAGCCGTGATCATAACAGACGCCAGCTCCCTTCTCCATCATCAAGGCGGGATTCAGAGGCGGTCTTCCAAACGCTGCATCTGAAAATAACATGATGTGGGGTAAAGAACGTAATCCGAGCGGCCTCAATGAGTCAACAGGGACACGTCAAATATAATCAGTGTAGCCTCTGTGACAGACAAACACCACAGACGCAACGTTCGCCATCGTTAGGTGCCCCACATTTCAGCCTTCAGGACAACATAAATGCAAACTTTTCAACCAAGCTCAGCCATGTTGGAGGATACTGTGCTGTCCATAAAAGTGTATAATTTTTTCGTAGCAGGCTCGTTGAAACCCTGAACCCTAGATTTGAGCAAAAACAGGCTAAAGGGTTATAAATCAGCTTTAGTAAAAGATTTGATTGTTGTGATTTTGGACAATTTTAAAAACCATACAGTATCTCCTATTATATTTATTTGCACTTTTAAATATTGATTTAGCCCTGCTTGAGGGTTTTCAACGACATATCTTCATTGAATTCCAGTCCAGGTTTTGACTAGGCCCCTGGAAAAACCTTCTTTTATTTTTTTCTTCTGATATATTCAGAGATTAACTTTCTGTTATGCTCTTGTTCATTGTCCAGCTGTTCACTGCAAAAAAATTTAAATCTAAAGTCTAAAGTCCTTTCTTAAAATAGGTGCACCTTTCTTGAACTGAGAAGGTAAGGGAGACACCTTGCCAACGGAACAAGAAAATTTCCAATTAATATTAGAAAAAAACAAGTGCACTGTCTTATTTTTAGGTGCATATTATCTAATTATCTTATTTTAAGAGTAATGCATCTAATTACATTGGCAAATCATCTTATTTACCTGCTTAAATTAAGGGTAAATAGTCTTAATTTGAAGAATTTTTACTTATTTCTAGATCGTTTTTGAAGCATTTGAGGTCAAAAACTGATTTTTTTGTACATTCCTGAAGCAGCAATACTACCCAAGACCATGAAACTACCGCCTCCGTGTTTGCTTTGCTAGTTTTACACCAGATCTAACAGGATGTTCACATTTCAAAAAGTTTTACTATAGTTTTACCATTTTACAGATTATTTTCTCAGGGTATTGGATTTATTTCTAAATTATAAAAATGAATCGTAATCTAAAGAAGAGACCTGCAGGACCTTAAATTTGGACTTTTCCCTTTAGTATATAGGGGCTCTTAAGGTTCAATATAATCAGGATTTACCAGCGGATGCAGGTTTTTCTTTTCATTTTCAAAGTCAAGGCTGCACACTTCTGATCTAACAGATAAAATCTCTGATCCTTTCTTGAAGCGAGCTCTGAATTCTACATCAGTGTTTAAGTAAATTGTCTTGGCAAAATTTTTAATTGGTCCAGGCAGCAAATCAGTAGCATTCTCCTCTGTAAGAAATTGATTCATAGTTATACTTCAATAAGTGATCTTAAAACGTAAAACTATTCTTGAATAAGGGCTGTCACTCTTCATTTTAACAGGTAAATAAGGTGACCTACCAATGGAATGACTATTTCTGCTCTCAAAATATTTTAATTAGATATTAAGCACTTGAAATAAGATAATAGAGATGTTTTTCTTCTTTTAAACTTCAATTATTTTATTCTATCTGCAGCTTGAAACAAGGGAAAAACACTTTCTTCAAGAAAATTTGACCTACATTTAAATCTAAAAATAAATGTTTTTTTCTTGAATTGAGGAGAAAAATGGGACAACTTGCCAATGGAACAATACAATTTACATTTAAAGTAAGAAAAATCAACTGCAATGTCTTATTTCAAGTGCATATTATCTAATTATCTTGTTTTAAGAGTAAAAATACTAATTCCATTGACATATTACCTTATTTATCAGCTCTTATTAAGGGTGAATACGCTTAATTTAAGACATTCTTACTCCTTTTTAGATCATTTTTGCAGTGCACTTATATTCAAATGTATGTTGTGTGTGGGTTTTCAGTAGAAAGACTATAACAGGGGGCCAGGACCACTTCTAAAGGGGCGCTGGCCCCTGTGGGCCCTTGTTAGCCCCTGTCTAGAACCATCCATGGATGACAATGATTATTTACATAGAGCTCAATTGTTTGGTACATCTCATGTATTAATTCTTATGTAATTTATGTTTTTACTGAGGTTATCTGCTATGAAATTATTTTGATGGCCTAAAGCATTTCATTGTGGGAATAAAAAGCAAGCAGAGATTTGCTTTCTCACAGTCCTGCAGCTGGTATGTAACTATCTTGATCAAAACCAAAGAGAAATGACTCACTTTGATAAGAGCTCTGCTATAAACATCTCTGTCAAAATGTGGTGTAAGGATTTAGTTGGGTTTAGAAATGCAATCAAGACATATATAAATCCGCTAGCACTGATTTTATGTGTTGCAGCTCAAATCGCTTAGATTGCTTTTGTTGCTTCACGCTCTTACATTGTTCCGTGTTAAGTCCTGATAGATACGCTTTCTGGTTGCATACCACATAGGAACTCATTCATTGGAAAATGCAGGTTGTTTGTCTTGGACCGTTCCTTTTCGTTTTGGCAGTCCGCATTAGATCCACTCGACTCCATTAGCTGGAAAGAGATGCCATTCCCCAGTCAGATTCTACCTTATTTTTCTTTTCAGTGCTACACATTGTCTGACAGGTGCAGACACAGCTGAGGCATATTTGCTGTTATGATAAAGCTTCCAGGTCTGCTGGGAGAGTGCCGGCGGTGTATGTGCAGCAGATTACCATCTACTCTCCTCTATGCGTTAGTCATTCCAATAAGTCTGGCAACTCTGCTGTGTCTGAAAAATATTTGATTATCTTTGTATTGTTTGAAAGCTAAATTAAACACATGCAGATAGTGACAGAGAGCCCTTCCAAACCAGTAACTGCACAGCCACAACACTTTTACCTAATAATTAACTTTTTTTTTACTATAATCTCTATGACATAGTTGGGATACAGCAAAAATTGACTAATGAGGGAGATTTTTTATTATTTTTTTTTCACTTTAAAATGTGTTGGGACCCCTAGCAATGCTCTGTGTCTATCAGTTATGCTAAGCGAGCTGCATCACGTTTGCATGTTAAATAAGTTCAGCTAATACCCAGGGGGGGATTTTGTGATGTATATATATATATAAATACATGCAAACAATAATTGTTTCATAGCTACAAACTGGATTCAGTTTGGTTAAATCATGGAATAAAGCAAGTCCAGCTGAAATGAGGATAACGCTTCATCATTTCAATCAGGATAAACGGTTAAAATCAGCAGTGTTGTGTAGACAGATGTTTATTTTATGTCTGTCATGTCAGATCAGCAAAATGCTTTTTAAAACCAACCTGGTATAACTTTATGCTGATATGCATTGTTAGCTTTCTTCTTCATATTTTGGCTTCTTGTCTGACTTTTTTCTACATTAATGGACACTTTGCAGGCTTTTTTTTGTTTGTTTTCACTGATGCATATCTTCTTCCTCGGTTAGGTATTTTCTGAAGCTGTGGATTTATTTGCAGGTATTAAAGGAGGGATGTTTAATTACAATGCAGTTTTTTTTCTGTAGTGGGAAAAAAAATGGAAACCCACATAGAATGTGCTGCAAAAACTGTCTAAAAATGTCTTATAATAAGTGTATTAACCCTTAATTTCAGTAGTTAAATAATATTATCTCCCTATGGAATAAAATAAGATAATTTAA